CTTGTACTGCCGCTCTGAGGCAGAGAGGTCAGCTTCTCTGTTTTGACACAATTCCGGACCCATTTTCGCCCAGTGGAGAAGCACCTGTTCGTCCATGTTGTTGCCCCAGAGACCTGGGTCAGTGCTGTAGGGGTCGTCTAGTTCTCCTGTATCCTCGTTTTCCCGCTTGTCTTCTCCACTCTGCTCTACGCGCGCCTGGTCCTCTCCTCCAGATGAGTGACGTATCGGGCCTCCCTCATGTATTTGTCCGGTTGCCGTTGGCTCCCCTCCACGTAGCAAGTCCTCGTCGTCCTCTCCATCTCCTCCAACAGATAACGTCCCTCCTGTCGGTTTTTCCTCTCCCGCTACTCCATCGCTATCAGAACCAGACGGCCTACTTGGCTCCGAGGCGCCGCGGCCGGCACCGCCAGCACCGCTCGCTACAGAACTAATCTGTCCTTCCTCCTCATCCTGGCCTACAGGTTTAAAATAACCTGTAAGCTTCGGCATTTTTTTTAATAGCTGCTTGTCTCGAAACTCCTTTTCCCTCAACAATTTCCTTTTCCGAGCGCCACTCTCAAACTTTTTCTTCTCCGACATTTTGGATTACTGGTCTGGGGGAAGCTCGCGAGTGTGTGTGTGTGTATACGTGTGTGTTTGTGTATGTTTGCGTTTGTGTGTACTGTGTTTGTTTCCCGGGGAAAACACTCACGAGAAACGCCTGCTGTGACGTCAAGTTACTCAGTTCTCCGCTTGTAATTATGCCGTTACAAGCTTCAAAGTTGTATTTATCATCTGAATTTGCCGAAACAAGTTTAATATTCTGAAAGCCAAGACTTTGTTTATTTGAAATCAGATAAAAACAAACTTTAACGGACCCTGCCGTGTTATCTATGATTACTATACACCTTACATTCATAATTTCAGCGGAGGGAGGGGAAGCAGCGCTGCGGAACAGCAGATTGCGAGTGAGAGCTGTCATCTTCCCTTTACAAGCTTCAAACATGTATTTATCGTGTGATTTTGGAAATAAAAGTTTCATATTCTGAAAGCCAATACTTTGTTTATTTAAAATTAAAATAAAATTTTATTGGCTCATGATAGGCCCCTGATCTCCGTAGGCCCCTGGGCTTCAGCCCAGGTCAGCCCGTGCATTAAGGCGGCCTTGCCTAGGGGCCCTGTCTTTTCTATGCCCCTCACTGAAGAGGGTGTAGGATGACAGGCAGGAGGTGTAGTCACCTTATATCAGAGGTGTGGACTCGAGTCACATGACTTGGACTCGAGTCAGACTCGAGTCACCAATTTGATGACTTGAGACTCGACTTGACAACATCACAAAACACTTGCGACTCGACTTGGACTTGAACACCAATGACTCGGGACTTGACTTGGACTTGAGCCTTCTGACTTGAGGTGACTTGATACTTTAATTCAGAGGTCTCCAACACGCCGATCGTGAGATGCCGCTCGAAGAGCAGGCTCCCGTCGGGGAGAGCAGAATCTTCAGCCGCTCCTACTCTTGCTGAGAATCCTTGCAGGCAGGGGCGGGACTTTATTTAGCTACCATGCGGCCAATCATATACACAGACACACTAGGATCATACCATTATGTGAAAGAAGGGTGGGGGGCACAGCAGGTGTAGTGGTACAGGCCAGCTGCACAGAGCGACGGAGAGACGGATTTAAATGCAAGCGCGTCGGAAAAAGTCAAGAAATTTGCGAAAACCGAAAAAAGAAGCAGCATCTGGCTGCATTTCTATGCTATTGGAGAAAGCAAAGCTGAGTGCAGGATTTGTAAAATGAAAATAACCTTCAGAGCAGGTTTTTTTTGGTAACCACTCAGGATTTATTGTCAGAGGTGGGAGAAGTTCAGATCTTGTACTTGAGTAAAAGTACCAGAGTGTAGGAATACTCGGTTACAGTAAAAAGTCCTGCATTCAAAATGTTACAAGTAAAAGTACAAAAGTATTAGCATCAAAATATACTTAAAGTACCACCTGCAGAGGGATCTAGATTCAGGTGTTCTTTTCCCCATAGAGACCGCCTCGCTGCACATTATCCCTTGCATAAAGATAGATTGTGGGTCCCTTATAACATGTTGTACACAGTGGAAATAAACATTCTGGTTACCTCAACATCAGGGATCTTATCAATTAAACTCCTTCTGAATCAAACCGTCACGGTAGCCTTACCTTACTGATCCCTCTTAAATTAGAAAAAAACACGTTACTTTACCAGCTGAGAGAAAATTGATTATTAAATTATTAATGTGACTAATAAAGAGCAGTATTGATTATTAAGTATTATTCTGTTGATAGATGTCATTAAATTTGTTGAAAAGCACATAATGACTTGTTTAAGGCTCGTTTTGTCAAAGTTTAGGACTTGGACTTGACTTGAACTTGCCCATCCTGACTTGAGACTTGAGCGCAAAGACTTGAGACTTGCAAAACAATGACTTGGTCCCACCTCTGGAAATTTGTATATAATCTATAATAATCTCCTCACAGCTCAATGCCATGACAACCACAGCGTGAACATCCATCTGTCAGTCCAGAATGTCATTCCTTCATCATTTTGAAGAAAAATTCCCTCATGATATGATATAGCCCTACTTTTAAATTCTAATTCAGATTGAAATCAACTTCCTTGTGTTTAAACACATTGTTCTTTTTTATCCATCTTTCAAGATTTTATTGACACAAAAAGCTGTTATCTGTTCCCTGTGCAAAAAAAAAATGTTCACTTGTTTTTGCTCAATATCCTGCCCCATTTTCTTCGTATTTACTTATTTTTCTTTAACCCGCTGAGGTTGACAGAAAAAAGTTTCACAACACTCCCGCGATTATCTCCGCAGCAGAGAGTTTAAGTTTCACTTTCAACTGCATGTTATAGCCTAGCACCATACCTCCATCACACATGTTTTGTACAATTTCAGGCGATTTGTCATCCATTCTAGAAAAACTGTTTTTTTGAGATTTCAAGAAGCCTGAAAAAAATGTATGGATGTCTTTTATGTACATTTATCCATGTTGGAAGCAGACTTTGATGTTTCAGGAGTTAGATAAAGATTATAGAGATGTGATGTGGCCCTCTGCCTTGTACCAGACACAAACTGCTTTGAGGAATGGCACAACTAATCTTGCTGATATAATAACACCATGACTTATTTTGGTAAATATTGTAAACAAATATTGATTTTTTCCTTTGAAATATTTAAAGTTTTCCCGTTTCAGGCGTTCCTCATAAATCTTTATCAAGATACAGGGACGGATGGGCACTAACGCATAGCCTGAGCATGAATGTACATTATAGAAGATCACTTATTAACATGTAATGTGAAACAATACCTGCGCTCATGACTCCCTGTACTCCCGTCTCCTGAATGCAGCACTCCACGTCACTCAGGTGCTGAATGTTGCCATTTGCAAACACTGGAATATTTACCGCCTTCCTGCAGCACAAACACACCAAACCTGATTTGGTATAGCTATGATAGGAGCACCAGATACACTTGCAGGATTTAAAAGGAGGTGACTTAGCTTACCGTACTGCCCTGATGTGCTCCCAGTTAGCGATCCCCGTCATGGCTCCTTTCTGGTCTTTGGTTCTGCCGTGCACTGTCAGCAGCTGGGAAAATATTTGACAAACATTTAAACAACATCTTAAGCTTCCTGAAACAGATAGCAGATTGTACAGATTCGAAAAGACAGTTGATGAATTTGTTCTGCATGAACATGGTCCCACCTGACAGCCAGCTCTTTCCAGCATCTGGGCGTAGCGGACCGTCTTCTCCATCTCCTCGAACACACGGATCTTGCAGGTAATGGGCACCGAGAGCTTTTCATTGGCTAACCTGACTGAAAAATGAGAGGAATGTTCAGAGACAGTAAAACACTTTAATAATAACTTCATAGAGTGGTGCAGTGATGACATATTTTTTGGAAGGCAAACCAGTAGTTAGCGTGACAATACTTTCCTCAAGAAAAAGCAATGGGATTTTTCCATTGGATTTCGAAATATTGCAGAAAGTAAGATCAACATTTGAATGATACTTACATGTTTTGAGGATAATCTCCACACATTAACATCTTTTTAATAATTGAAGCAGAAAGGAAATCCCCAGAACTAAAAAGCTAACGTAACGCAATAAACTAAATACATGATGGTCACATGACTTCATGTCACATTAGGCCACTTGTTAGCTTCCGATGTTTTTGTAACACATAGAAGCTTCAGGCATTCACCAGTGGGGTATTTACTGACGTAGCTTGTCGTAGAACAAAACGTGAAAATCTCTCCAGCTTGTGTTAACCTCAGACCTTATTACCGTGAATCTAACCAAAAACATGTTCAAAACACATTGAATTCAAGACAGGAGAAGCGGAAGTGGTAAAATGCCAACTAATTTCCATGTTTTTGGGACTCATTCCTGCACCACTCTATAATACACTGAATACACTGAGGTCATCCCGACAACACGTTTAAATCAGACTTACCCATCTTCTCTAGCAGCTCCCACTTATCTTGTAGGAAAGCTCCATACTGCCCTGCGAAACAAGCATCGAGGGAGGTTAGTTTTCTGCGAGGGGCTGTTCTGATCATCCACTCTTGAGGTTTTTTCTGCAGCAACTGAGAGTACCTCTCTTTGCGATCATCTGTGGGCAGCCCAGGTTCAGGTCGATGGCGTCGCAGTAGTCCTGCGCCATCAGAGCCGCCTGAATGAACACCTCTGGATCATTGGCACAAAACTGACACACAGACGAAGCAATGATAACCAATGGTAATGTCAGACAAAACGTGTTAATGGAAACTATCATAACAGAACTGGGAAGGTATAATAAAGATGGTGGTAATGTTCCATGAATCACCTGTGTGATGAGCGGTCTGTCCTCCTCACACACTTCATTGTAGAGGTTATCTCTCCTGTAGTTAGCGTCCCTAACAAACACCTGAGCGTGCAGCATGGGGGTGTAGCAGAGATGAGCGCCGTGCCTGCGACTCAGCAGCCGCCACGCCAGCTCGCTCTGGTCCACCATGGGGGCCACCACATATCGGGCTTCCTTCAGGGTCTTCCTCCAGAACTCAAAGGCCTGCAGCTTGGCCATCACAGCAGACTTCAACAGACAGGAAGAACAGAAAGTCATAAAGAGCCTGCAGGAAAGCTAACACACCAAGAAGGTCCTGCAAGAAATAAACTGTGAATAATAACATTTTAGCAACACATTAAGGTAGCTGTCAGAGCTTGGAAACCTAATAATGAATGGTGATGTATTCTGAAGTACAGCCAGTGGTGGAAGGAGTACTCAAATGTTTTAGTTGAATAAAAGTAGCAATACTTAATTGTACCCTGATACAAGTACAATTCCTACATTCAAATCTTACTCAAAATATACTTAAAGGAACAAAAGTAAAGGTATTCGTTAAACGCCAATTTAAGAATCATATTTGTGGTTTTACCAATATGCTGGATATCTCAACATATAATTTCATGTAAAAGTGTATTTAATGATTTAGTTATATTTTATATTAGCTAATAATCTTAATCTGAAAAGTAACTATTAATTAAAAAGTGTCAGATAAAAGTAGGAGTGAAAAGTTAAATACTGGCTGCCAAACTGTACTGAAGTAGAATTTTAAAGTAGCATAAACTAAAATTACTCAAGTAAAGTACAAATACCTGAAAATATTACCTAATTACAATGAGTAAATGTACTTCTTTACATTTCACCACCGAGTATAGCTTGCATTAGCATAACATTAGCTTCTTGCTGTTAAACACTCGTGATCTGTTTGAAACTGTATTATAATATTGAATAGCCCAACTAGCTAGCCTAGCTTTATTTACAGTGCCTTCCCAACATTAGCACAAACAAAGTACACACAGTACTTAATTATGTTCGTTTCGAGTGTTTCTGTGTAACACTTCATAGTTATCATTATTAGTGTTTTTATAATTAGCTGTGTCTGGGCTGTGCTGCGGTTAGCTATACGAGCTAGCAGCAGCTCATGATCGAGCTGCATGTGTTTCTCTGGCAGCGCGTGCACCGACACGCTACAGTACCACCAATAACCTGAGTAATACCCGTATGTACCTGTACTACCTATATGTCATGTACTACTTGTACTGCTAATATATGATGAGAGTTTGCCGTGTCACCTGCAGTACTGAGAGCTTTGAAGAGTATTCCAGGGTTGCGTTCCGATAATCCAAAAATCAGCTCCTAAATTCTAACCCTATCTCCTATTCCTTAACCTCTGAGTGTAACGTCACGGGGTTAAGGGATAGTGGATAGGAGAATTCAAAAGGACTTAGGAGAAGAGACTGCGGTACTTAGAGAATCCGAATGCACTTTCACTATCTGACGTATTTATAATGCGCCAGCGGACGTCATTGTGTGCGTCTGCTGCTGTGGTGAAACTATGGAAACTACAGTGTTCTATACAGCGGACTAACATGGATGTTTAATAAGAACGAGGGTACTCATCTAGAGACTCTGCACCGTGCTCTGATGCTGTTGTTTTATGCTTTATGAACGTGGACAACAGAGAAACATATTCTTCATGACCAAACTTGGAATTGAAATAAAAAAGGAAAGTGAAATTTATGCTCGTCACCTTCTCCCTCCGGTCCACATTAATACAAATGATCCCAATACTTATGATTGTATGAAAATATTTTAAAATCAATACAAATGTATTTATTATAAACGTTAGTCCTTAACACCTATCACTGTGTACATCACCATTCAAACATCTTTTAAAAGTTGAACAAACCCCACACAGCTCAGTGAAATGTTGACTTTATTTGATCATTTCAGTAAAAACTAACGTTCATATTTCTCTTTTTGATTATAATACTGATGAACGTTCAAAACAAAGCACTTTGGCAAGTTACCACATACATTTTAAAAAGCTTAATAAGCACCGTAACTTTCATGATATAATTTCTCCGTCATAATCGTTTGTTTCCGTGAACGGCCGACTGTTGTGTGACGCAAATGCTGCGGCTGCAAGGCATTGTGGGGCTGCATTTTCTCCTCTCCTTTCGGTTAGGGAGGTCCAGTGGTTCCTAAGCTAAAGGAGGTTATAAAGGAAGTTTGAAACCTCCTTTCCTTTCATTTGGAGAATTGGAACGGCACTTATCATGGCTGCCACTGACGTACTTCCGGGTCATTTCACGTGGTTAAGAAGGTTCCTAAACTAAATGGACTATTGGAACGCAACCCTGGTGCAGCACTTTCCAAATGTCTGCAACAGAGAAACACAACCGAGAAGAAACGTTCCCTTTCTATCGTTCCTACAGCTTTCCTCTTTTCATTTTGTTAGGTTCATTTGTTGCATTTCCGCCCCCAGCTGGTATGGAGTGTCTACTATGTTTCTCATTATCAATATTACCATTATTTTTTTCTTAATGGATTTGAATCATATACAGTCTATAATTTGAATGAATGAATAACATCCAATGTGGGGGCCCTTTTGTAGAACATCTATCAGATCATTGCATTGCTTTTTTCTTCCTCGTATTTATGATATAGTAGAAAATGCTACATTATAAACTACTTTAGGAGTGCTTTTCAGTTATGTCTAATCTCTCATGTTTAATTACTTTAATCTCTGTGAAATCATCGCCCTTTTTTTCCTCTTATGTCTGTTGATGCTTTGATATCTGGTTTGCTGAAACTCATTGTGAAATTAATGTTATTATTTGTGTACCCCCTTTTGCAACCCTTTCTGCAATTGTATCCACTTTGATACAAATACTATCCATTAAAGGTGTTAGTCAATCCCATGGATGTATGTCAATCCATAATTTGACTTTCTCCCTGTGGTTGTTATGCATAGTGGAAAAGACTAATTTAGACTCATTTCAAGATAGCAGTGGAAGCATGAAAAATACTTCATCACAAGTAAGAGCCCTGCCTTCTAGCGACAAGAGAATGAGTATACTGTCAGATAATCGGTTTCAAGGATTCATTTACTATTCAATCTCCAACTATGTTATGTTTTGTTTGCATGTGTTACGTAACTCCAGACATCCTCATTCACACATTTTCTTTAAAGACCTTTTAAAGAAGTGAATCACTGTATTATCAGCTTTAAATTAATGTTAACTTGAATACAGGCACCTCATTTGACACATTTATTAAAGCAGCTTATACCATGACAGGCTTGCAAATATTGCTAATTAAAGACACAGGAATCCGACTTCATTTAAGATTACATTTTACAACTTTCAGCTAACAGATGTTTTTCTTTCAGAATATTTCATTATTATTGTATTATGGATACAGAATCTGTCTTTTACAGCATCATACAGAAACCAATATGCTCAAATGAAAGTAATGTTGTAGTGTTGGACTTCTATCAGGAACATTCAGTAGGAATTTGTATTCAAACATTTTATTTATAGTTAAAGCAGCTGCTTTTATAGCTTGTCGTGAGCTTTTCTTTCACATTCTGAAATACATTGGCTGTGGCTTTGTGTCACACATACACACATACGCTGTACATTGAAATCGCAGTGAGTCACATTTAACAGACAGATCAATATAAAGCTAAGAGAGCATGATATTCAGCTAAACACATGGACTTACCTTAGATAAAATAACCTATATCATATGAAAATAAATACAATTTATATTGAATTTGAAAGTATCTCTGTTGAATGATAAAATGAAGACATGAGGTCTCTTTACTAAGATGAGTGACACTTCAAGTCCCACTCGTTATTCACCCATCACCATGGAGACTGACTCACCCACCCAGCTGCTGTGTTATATGATGTGCACCACTAATAATAGGGAACATGTTTGGCCTCCTGTACTAAAACAAGTGTATTGCATTGTGGGACAATTATGGGACAAGGTGATCCCTCCTCTATACTACACTCTGTGAGAGCTGTGTAGGCAAAACACTTCAAACACATGTTTAAACACTTCACTTAAAGACTGTGTGCTAGACTAATGGGCCGTGGTGATGAAGATAATACTTACAACCTGAGGAGGAATCATAAAGCTTCCACCAAAACAGCAACAACACTTACACTCCATACACTTAGCAACCATTAGCAACCATGAATTACTGACACAACTGAAACCACTTGTCACTTCATCATTGAGTCAGCCTTAACTGTTAAGCACAGACAGCACAGAGAGACATTTGTACTTTGATGGCGGCAACTCATTTTCAAAGCGTACATTAACCATTTTAAAGGTCACTTATTATGCAAAATCCACTTTTTCATGTCTTCTATACATCAACATGTGTCCCCTCTGTGTAAAGAGACTCTGAAAGTTTCAGGAAAAAAGATTCCCTCTCTTTTTGTCCTGATCCATTTATATAAAAACCTGTCTGAAAATGAACTGATCAGATTTTGGCCACTTTATGCTGTCTCAACGCCCCCCCCCCCTTTATCACCTGAATCTCCTCCGACAGTACCATTGTGTTCTTTGTAACCAAATATCTCTCAGAGGAGCGTGGGGAGGGGCTCCTTATTTTCATCTAAGTAACAGACAGAGAATCAGCACTTTTGAAACAGGGCTGAAACAGAGGGTATTATGGGATGCTGCAATGATCTGTTTGGTGTTTCGAGCCAAACACTTCAGAGACATGTTTTGTATATATCTGAGAACTATTATATATTGATGAAAAACAGTATAATAGGGGACCTTTAAGCAACAATGGAAAGGAGTTATTCCTCACGCGACGGAGCTGTTTTCGCTCCTTCAAAAAGCAGACATGAGAAGACCAAAACTAACAGTAATTAGTCCATCACTCAATACTTTCACAAACACACTGTTTGTATGTGGCTCTCAGCTCAAAGCCCTTTGGTACCTCCTTCAGATCTTCAAAACTATAACTTTTGTCATTTCCTAAAACAGCCAATACTGCATTGTTTTCTACATAAAACTAAGCAGTTCGACTTCTACCAAATTGTAATGCTCATCCACCTTTATTTATTGCTGACCCTATCCTGATAAGAGTACATCAGAGCCTTGCTTTGCAAGTTGGCAGTTAGCATGTCTGATAACTAGCTAAGAGAGCTGTGACTAACTCTTGCTCACAAATTGTGGCTAGCTAGTGTTATAGCTGTTAGCCTGCTAGTCTTCACTATGTCACCAAGGGTCGTTTCTACATGATGAACCAGAATGTTTAAACTTGTGTGAGATAGTTAAGGGTAGAATAGGTCCAAAGACATCAAGTCTGGCAAACTTTTCACAAAGGTTCACATATTGACGGTCACCTTTTGAACATGCATGAATCTATATCTAATATGAGGTTAGCTGCTCCACATTTGAATGTAACAGGATTCAGTAAGATACATCGATTGTTGATTTAACTGGGAAGATAGACAATACAATTATTTCTCCAGCTAAAATCTCATAAGCAACTGTATTAATCTCTTTTCATGGTATTTGCTGACACTATGAATTCAGAATATCATCAAAATCACCCATATCCTTAGTTGCTGGTTAATTAAAAATACAACTTTTGACTTTTGATAAAAATTGTATCCACAAGTCAGTGCTGCACCTTATAACATCTAGTGATGAAATATTGCTGACATAACTCTTACTATTACTATTTCATATGGCAGTGGTAGCGATAAAACAGCCATTCTCTCTGGCCTTCTACTCAGAGCGGAGCATGACACCTGGCTATTCCCTGTGTTTTTGTTTTTTATATTTCTGTTGTAAATTATTGTATTTTATTGTGATTGTAGTAAAGTGTTTTTATTACATGTACAGCACTTTGGCTCGACCAAAAATCACTTTAAATGTGCTATATAAATAAAACATGATTGGATTTGATTTGATTGACATCTGGATTAAACACTACATTTAAGGAAAGCACAACTATCTAACGGTGTTCAAAGTTCACTGTTGGGGGGTTATAAAAGAGGTATGGGTCCCCTGCATGACCAATCACAGGCTTGTCTCAGGACTGTTGGCCATGTCTCCATTTTGTGTTGGCTCTTTCAAGAACTTTTCGACTTCCTGTGAGTCCACTGTTAAACTAGCTGGCCTGATCCTCTCTTCTGTCTCTTTGTCTATTTCCTCTTTCTCCTTCAACACCTCCTTTGTCTCCTTTTCTTGCTCCTCTCTTGCTCCCTTCTCTTCTTCGTCATTGACGTCTGGACCTTTGCTGCACTCCTCTGTCACTGTGATGTTCTCAAGCTTGTCTGCTGATGCTGAGGGCTCTTTCTTGATAAACAGGAAGTTACATGTAGCCAGGACGACAGCTGCCAGGACCACCTCGCATCCTGCCAGCAGGAAGATCCACATATAGTTATGGGTGGCATCAAGAAGCCGGCCTGACAGAAAAGGAGAAGACAGATGAGAGGATTACTTAGGTTACCAAACATGGCCTAACTGTGTACTGAATAACAGGGGAGAGGAACACATGGATAAGTGCATGGATTTTGGTTTGGTCCGATATTGTTAAGCAATCGAATACTGTAGCTTGTCACTAATCTTCAGAGAGTTAGGAAGCAGACGTGGTGCCTGAAGCTAATCATTCTTCATGAAACTGAATGTATTAGGGTGTTGTTCAATGACTTGTGAATAATAACCCTCCCCAATAAAGTATTATGGTTTTGTTTCTGTCTGCGTTTACCTAAATGAGCTGAAATTAATTTGGCGAGCTTTGAGCAATCAGTGCATGGTTGACGTTCCAAGCACCCAGTGGAATCTAGGGAAGTAACAACTTGGGAGTTTACTGTTAAAATCCTTTCTTTTGGCGCCACTAGATGAGACCGTTTTGGCCTTTTAGTAGCTGATAAGAGTTCGTGTTTAATAATTTCCCTAGTTGTAACAACTATTATCTCCAGTACTAGCTGTATCTGACAATATAAAACCCCAAAAAGGCTCAACTACAAAAGCCCATCACACAAATTGCCTACTTGTTCCTGTTTTCAATGGACTCCAAAATCAGTAGTTGCAACCCGCGGTCATGTGGACAGATGCTTTATGTCATTACTAAAACTAACTATGTTTATTAAGAAAGTGCTTTTAATGTTTTTGCACCTTCATCTTGGTGTGAGCAACAGAGACACATTAAATAATACTACTTAACTTGCATGGAAAATAAAACAGGATTAGATAATATCTGACCACTAATTGTACATGTCCTGGAACAGACACTGCTAATTAAAAGATAACAATGTAATTTGCAGGTGTTTTTCAGTCTGTTGCTTGCTCTTTTTTCTAAACTTCACGATGCTGTCTTGGCCCCTTTCTATATCTCAAAGGGAAATACTTTGAATAAAGATAATGAAGGTTAGAAAACATTTATGGGTTGTAGGCTCTATGCTGACTGACCTGCAGCAGGCGGCCCCACTAGCACAGCGATGGCTTCCATAAGCAGCACCAGGCCAATGGCACTGGAGAACTTCTCTGTACCAACTATTGCCATGAGAACCTCAAACTGCAGGGCCCCCACCATGCCGTAGGAGAGGCCAAAGAAGATGCAGAAGATCACCAGCGTTGTGTAGTCGTTGGCCTGGGGAAAAATCGTGACACGAATTGTAAAGGACAATCAAAATGTAGGGTTAGCTTTGAAACCAGACTTTCCAGTTGATAACGAGTTAACCATTACCAACCTGTGATCCGATGAGGTCAGTGATTCCGTTGAAGATCATAGCAAAGCTGAAGAGGTAGACGCAACGAGGACGCACCCATTTCATTCCAGCTATCAGACCGCAAGTGGGCCGTGCAAACATGTCAATGAAGCCCAGGATGGAGAGCAGAAGCGCTGATTTGGTGTCCTCATTCCCCAGCTCCTTCGCATAGCTCACGACAAACACCGGCGGCACAAAGAGCCCCAGCACCATGATGGACGCCGCCACGGTGTAGATGACAAAGCCGCGGTCTTTGAACACAGAGAAGTCCAGCAGTTTGGCTTTGGGCTTCTTCTTCTCTGCTTCTTCTTCATTGTCCTGTTCCAGCTCCTTAGATTTGAGCGTCTTTGGAGCAACCAAAGGCCGCATCAGGGCCGCGCACACACAACAGTTAAGTAGAATGCCACCCAAGATGAGGAAGCTCCCCCTCCATCCGTACTGGTACTGGAGAACCTGGCCCAGTGGAGAGAGGCAGCACAGAGCCGCAGGGCTTCCTGCAGCCGAGAGCCCATTGGCCAGGGGACGCTTCTCACTGAAGTAGCGGTTTAGCATAATGAGCGATGGTTGGAAGTTCAGGGCTAACCCCAAACCTGCAGTAAAGGAAAAAAAGTTCCTTATATTCTTTGACCTTCTTTAGGCAAACATGCATTTAACTGTCTTGTTTTGTAGGGGATGTGTTCATATAGATGTGTCACATTCTAAAATACTTTATGTCAGCTTGAATGACTGAGTATGGTAGGTTTGTTCAGGAGAAATTTCAGCAGAGCATCAAACCTGTTATGACCCCAGTAGAGAGGTAAATGTGGATAATGCTGGTGGAGAAGGAGGCCAGGATCATTCCCAGAGAAGCGAGGATGCCTCCCACCAACATCACTGGACGACAGCCGAAGCGGTTCACCAGCACACTGCACAGAGGACCTGATGAAGAGGAATAGACTGTGTGTGTGAGCAGAAAGTATACGGGCCTGACAAATACCTAAAATGCGGCTTTCACACCAGCGCTTTTCCCTTTCTAGCTCCGAGCTAGAGCTTTTCTGGTTCAGCTCCGGTTTCCCTTTTCTGCTCCTGCTCTGTTCACACCGCCCAGAGCCCGACTGGTGCAGCCGCTGCTGCGTCATGACGTCACCGTTTACATCGCTGATTTGCTCCCCAACGGCGCTCACAACAAAAACAACAACAACGGGGGACTGCGTCGGGTCGATGATTGTGTTGCTTTTAATCACACAAAGTCAGATTAAATAAAATAACGACTTCTCCAAACTTATACTTTTCTCCAGAGTGCCGTGGTTCATTGTTTATTAATGTGTTTCAGCGGCATTTACCGACCGCTGCACTGCTGGCTGCTCTTCTACGGGAGTTTATTCTCCCGTTAGCTCCGGGTTAGCTAATACTTTAGAGCGGCCTCTCTAAAGTATTCACTGTCCGACTGTCACACAAGCAGCTGATACATATCCCCAATTCCCCTTAAGTATGTGTGTCAGTCTGAATTGACGCTGTTTGGCATCACAACGCTGTTATTAAAGTGTCTCTGGTATAAAATGGGTGATAGCATAGCAACCGAAGCTAAACTGACAACTTGCTATTGCTAACCTATTGTGGCATAAGCCGTTTTCTACAAGCACATTTTACCGGCGTATTTTTCATTATGATTCTACTTGTGATAGTCGGACATGACAACCTGTGCAGCCCATGTATTGATTCCATCCGATAGCTGCTATAATACAAAACAAAACGTCTGCCTGCTCTCCACAATGATCAATAACAGCGAACGGATGGTCAAAGTAAGGTACAAATAAACGGAATCACACGAAGCCTGGTTAGTGTTGCCTGACTTTATAAATGTGTGGTTGCCTTCCAGTCACTTTGCTCAGCACTACTGCTTGTAGG